TATATTTATGAAGAGGTGGGGAAAATGAAACAAATATACAGATAGGTAACAAGGTAGTAAGGACATAAAGCTGTACTCACATCTATAAATTCAAATGGTTTCATATTTGAAATTTAAGAATCATATTCAATTTAACTAAAAATCAAATTTAAGAATTATATTTGATTGAGCTAAAAATAATCAAATCAGTAATCTATGGTACATATGGTTCAATCAACATAAAAATCTTAAAAACTGACTGTAAACTGTATGTAAAGGATCACTCCTGAACATACAAGGGTATGGAGCTGCCCTCTCCATACCCTTCATGTTGGAGTTTCTGAAAGTTAGTTACAGGCTTAAAAAGAAAACTTCAATCAAGAATTTAACATCAGACATATTTAATGTCTTCACTCCTGAGTCAGGTGAAAATCTGCAGTTATACAAACTCTAAATTACCTAGATGTGTGTTTTTTTAAAGAGTAGGATAGGTTAAAAAGCATTTTACATATGTAAAAAAAAAATCCCTAGAATTACAGTAGAACCTGTATAGTTGACCACCTTCTACACTGACCACATCCTTAAAGTGACTGAACATGCATCACATTTACATATTAGTACAGTAGGCCTAGTTCCTTATGTTGACCAACTCCATACGTTCATCAGTTTGTTACAGTACCTTGGGTGGTCAACTTACAGAGTTTCTACTGTATACAATTATAGCAATCACAATAAAATTATATGCTAAAGTTTATTAATCATATAGCTCTGATTTTCCCTTCTAAAGGGCTTCAAAACGGGTGGCAGATTTAGTTTGGGTACTTAAATTGCAAAACTCTGTATTTCTTAATTCCTTAAGCACTTTCAGAATTAGCTCATCTAGAATATTAAAGGTATAGGATTTGGGAATCTGGGCATCAGTGAGAATGAAGCTGTGGAGGCAGATGAAATTACCTAAGTCATTCATAAACAGTCAATAAACAGAAGAAAAAGTGCAGAAAGTAGAAAGCATAGAAATTAAAATATAACAAAAGAGAATTTTGAACTATCAAATTAGAAACTGTAACTAAAAATAATGACAAAATGTGATGAGGTCAGCTTCTGAAAAACTTCAGTGCTCTCAATCTAAATCTAGGAGTCTATTGTGAGGAAGTAATCACCTACGATCAAAGACTACCTTTATCTCTTAGTTACAACAACAACAAAAAGTTAAAATAAACTTAAGGTTCCTAGTAAGGGAGAAGTTACAAAAACAGTATATACACAGTGACAAATATCATAAAGTCATAAAACTCACATTTTACCAAAACAATTAATAAAAATGATTAAGTAATAGAATAAGTAATGATTAAGTGATAAAATATTCAATAGAAAAAACACATTCAATGTAAACTGAATTCAGAAAATGTTTTACATTCATATAACATATTGATAGAGACATGTTGTATATCAAATACCGATAGCTATAAATACTAAAATAGTAGTGTTATCTTTAGTTGGTGAGTTTTATTTTTTATTAGCCATCTCAGTATTTTTCCTTTTTAAAAATAATGGTTGGGGCCAGACACAGTGGCTCACACCTGTAATCCCAGCACTCTGGGAAGCTGAGGCAGGTGGACTGCCTGAGCTGTGGAGTTTGAGACCAGCCTGAGGAAGAGTGAGACTCTGTCTTTACTAAATATAGAAAAATTAGCCAGGCATTTTGCTGGATGCCTGTAGTCCTAGCTACTTGGGAGGCTAAGAAAGAAGGATTGCTTAAGCCCAGGAGTTTGAGCTTGCTGTGAGCTATGATGAAACCTTGCACTCTACTCAAGGTGACAGAGTGAGACTCTGTCTCAGAAAACAAAAACAAAAACAAAAAAAGAAAAGAAAAAAGAGAGACTGGAAACAATGTTTCCAGGACTTGACAAAAAGCTCATTGTCATTGGCAGTACAAATGGAGACGCATGCACATGGCAGGACACTCACTGTGGCACTTGCTGCCTGGGATCCCCAGAGTATCAAGTCCACTAAAGTCTTCTAATGGGCTTACTTTAAAGGCAAAACCTTATACAGCAAGATGATTTGGACATCCAGATCTTATGAACTACCATTCTATACTGCTTCATAAAGGCCAAAATAGTATATATCAACATACTGATATAGAGCCATGTCCTATTTTCATTTCTTTGCCACATTTGTTAAGTACAATTTTATTCTTTATTTTAAGATGCATGGTGCTACACATGAAAGCATTCTCAGTTCAGAATGAGAAAACTTAATTTTGAGTCCTGCTGTGCTATGCTACTTACAGACTGAATCCTTGACCTCTCTATTTCCCTATGAAGAATATGGGGCTAATAATACTAGGCTTAAATACTTCTCAGGATTATTTGCATTGAACAAAACTGTATATATGAAATCCTTCTAGCTTTAAACATCACTGATCATTAAATTTTAATGAACTCCTACAAAGCCTGATTTTTTTGTATAGTCTTTCTACATTGAGATTAATTCAACTCTACATTTGAATTCTAAATGTGAGGAACAAGGAGATGAGAATTAAAAACTAGCTATTTTAATGCTTCCCTTGGCAGAAATACCAAGGAAAAAGCAGGAGGAAATATACCTGGAAGAGACAGTCAACCACTGGATCACACCAGAAGGAGGTCCCAGAAAACATCTGGTACCTAGTTGACACTATGCAAAAAGGCCAGTAATGGACCATTATTTACAAGAACAGAAACACAGAGAGAATGTATAAACTATCCATTGTGACCTCAGTGCCCTGTGATTTTTCTAGGATCTATACCACTAGAGTTATCTGCCATTTGGAAAGGAAACTATGAAAAATAATGGCAGTCAGTGGCCTTTTTTTCTTTAATACAAGAAACATATTTTAGTTGGCTGGCATCATGAAATTACTTAATAGTCACAAATTAACAGAATCAGCACAAATGTATAATCTAAATCTAGTTTATTGTCTATTCATTTTAAACACAACTGAATCATTTCAAAGTATTCAAGACAATCAATTTTTAAAAATTCAAATTTTAAGTGAAAAAAAAAGAGGGCATCATTTATTCTAAGTTGTACTCTCAGATTCTTCATATTACCATGGTGTCAAAATAATCTAGACAAAGTCTAGAAAGGATATCAACAACCTTTTATTTGTCAATTTCATTCTAATTCTTTTTTTTGAGGCAGAGCCTCAAGCTGTCTGTCCCCTTGGGTAGAGTGCTATGACATCACAGCTGATAGCAACCTCTAACTCCTGGGCTCAAGTGAGTCTCCTGCTTCTGCCTCCCAAGTAGCTGGGACCACAGGTGCCCACCATAACGCTCGGCTATTTTTTGGTTGCAGCCATCATTATTGTTTGGCGGGCCCAGGCTGGATTCGAACCTACCACCTTAGGTGTATGTGGCTGGTGCCTTAGCCACTTGAGCGACAGGCACCGAGCCTCTAATTCTTAATGCTATAAGCTGAAGTAACAGATAGTTCCTATTTATTCACTGAGACCTAGAGAAAACCAAACTTACTGCTTCTCTTACATGCAATTCCTAATCATTCCACATAATGATAAATACAATTTCTCTAACAAATAGATTTGTGTCCCTGTTGTTGTTGGATAAAGACAAAGGGCTCACTTTCTATAAGACAGCACCTTGCAATTCTCAACATAAAATTTTCTGGAAATAAACTAGACACTTGGCCCTAAAGCCTTAAGTCACAACATTTCTCATCAGAATGATTAATCTTTACAAAAAGGCAGAAAAACAACACAGCCGCCCACTTTGACATTTTCATTCTTAAAACAAAAAAATCCCAGTGTAGTTCATGAACTGGAACCATCATTTATACGAAGTATACAATCCAGCAAGAGTATAAGTTGATTATAAGATTCACAAGATCACTATCTTTCTTATTCTCTGCATTGAGAATACTGTACTGACATTAAAAAGTAGTGCTAGCATAGTTTTACTTAGAAATCTGATAAACCGTTGCCCAAGAACCAACCAACATTTAATAACAAGGTTACTTCATTTTTTCCTTTTATGCTGTATTTGAAAAAAATATAAACAAAGTGTAACACTAAAAAAAAAGAAAAACTCCATTAATTTCTACAGCACTCAATTTTGTCTAACCTTTCTATGTCCAGTGATTGGAGAGTGAAGGAGTTTTTGTTTTTTTTTTTTTTAAGTAAGAGGTTAAGCATCCTAACAGCTTTTCTAAGCCAGACGTGTGTGTTTGTGCGTGCAGGCACACGCATGTCCACGGAAGTAAAGCAAAGCATCCTTGTGGTCATACAGAAAGGAAGAGAGGAAGGAGAGATGTGTAAGCAGGAAGAGGTTTTTTGCAGGCCCAGGGAGCTTGCTGTTGGCTATATCTGAACACTTTAACTCAAAAGGAGTCAAATTTTAGAAAATTCCTTTTTGGAAAAATTTGTTTTGATTTTGGATTATCATAAGGGTACAAACCATTAGGCACACTGTTTGCCTTTGTAAGGTAAAGTCTAAGTTGTAGGTGAGTCCTTCACCCAAGATGTGTGCCCTATACCTGTACTCGACAGGTGGGAACATCCTACACCCCCTTTCTTCCTTGAATTAAACCGTGTTTTTCTCTTGTGTGGGCCTATAGTTAGTTGTTCATCTATTAGTTTCAAATTAGTATTGGGTACATAGGATGCTTTTTTCCACTCTTGAGCTATTTTACATGAATATTTGCATTTGCTCCCTTTCTCTCCTTATTTTCTTCCCTCACTTTTGAACAGTTTAAGTGGGGAATAAACCAACTCTAGAGAGAGCTCTTAAGAGCACTTTGCTCAAGAAAAAGGATGAAGGTATTAAATTAATGATTGAAAGAGAATTATGAGAAGGAAGGGAATCATTCAGACACAGCAGGGTGAAGGTGAGAAGGAACGTGGGGTGGGAGGGCAAGCAGATGACAAGAGGGGAAAGCAAAAGAAAATTGTGCTGAGAAAATAGTTTGGAAACGAAGCTGGGAGAACAACCACTTTGTCCGTTTAACATTAGCTTGCTTACCTGTGTTATTTTTTCTATTCCCTGGAAGTTGTGCTTCTCAAAATGTTCTGCTATATTTAGGAAGGTGTGGCGTTCTAGATAGCAGCAGTTACTTAGGACTATCAAAAGCCGCTGTTCCTAAAAGGAAAACAAATTTTTATAAGATTACATTTACGGTAACACATTGCGAATATAACTTATCACTTCTTCAGTTTAATTATAATCTCTTGTTCTTTCATATCAATATTCAATGTTTTGCTTTTCTTGGCTGTTTCTTTCCCAGTATTACAACATGGACAGAAATGTAATACAATCCTACAGTTCTCCTATTTGTTCATTATTATATAATATACTCAGAGTCAAAGAATGTTTCCTTTGAAATGTTAACAACTGTATGGAAAAACAGATCAATAAGATCCATGTAACTAGGATTAGCTGTTCTTATCAAACGGGCTCTACTTTATTGTTTCTTCTATTTAATACTTTGTGTATACAAAAAGGTTACAAGAATCGATATCTTAAATATTTATATTCAACATATAGAAACTATCCAAAAATAATTTATAAATTTTTCATAACTTGTCCTGTAATAGGCTCCTTCAAAAAACTTAGGCTTTTTGGCTGGTACCTGTGGCTCAAAGGAGTAGGGCACGAGCCACACATGCTGGAGGTGGCGGGTTCAAACCCAGCCCTGGCCAAAAAAAAAAACTTAGGCTTTTAAGAATTGTTTGTGTTTGCAGAAGACTAGGAATAGTCTCCCTTAAATGGGGAGTGGGGTCACCTGGGGACTCTTAGATAGGAGGTGGTCAGAGTTAGCCAAGGAGAAGGAGAACCCTGCCTACTTCTGCATTCTTCAGGGCTCTGTCCGCCTAAAGTAATTTCTTACAAAAATTACAGGGGAGAGAGGAAAGATGGCCGACTGAAACCAGCTTTTGGCAGAGGCTCCCAATCCAGAGGGAGAAATGATGGCCAGAGGTAACCCAATGAAGCAGAAGATCAGGAGCTGAGCTGAGAGAGAGGATCGATAGGTTTCCATCACCCCTGCTGGGACACGGTGGGACTCCAAGGAAACAAATTTCGGCTGCCCATCCCAAAGAGAACAGGAATTCTTCCTCCCCCGACCCCAGGAGAGTGGCTTGAGGCAAGTAGAGAACAAAGGACCTTTTGTTTCACCAAAGGGGAGAGAATGACTGAGGGCTGGGACTCCCTCCAGAGAGATACCGCACCAAGACTAGGCAGTCTCTAGTCTCAAAAGTTGATCTAATATTCTCCCTACCTTCCTGAACTCCCAATTCACCCCTCCCCTACTCCTGGTGGTCTGGAAGACTACCCCCTGCAAAATCCGGAGCATTTGGTAGATTTTTGCTAGGGCAGGGCACCTCATGAGCTGTGGGACAGTTGCTGAAGCTATTACTTTAATAGAGGAAGGGAGTCACAAGGGGAGAGAGACTTGCCCCGTGTTGGAAAGAGCATAGCTGGGATCCCGCTACCAACCACTAGGGAACGCTGCCTACTGGCTCCCCAGCTCGGCAGCCCATGGTGGGCGGCTTGGCTATGCAACTGGTGGCCATGGCAATGACTCCGGCCTGGCTCCTGCAACCTGCAGCCACAGGCCAGCGACTCCCACCCAGCACCTGCAACCCCTGAGGCCAGCAACCCTGCCAGAGGCCAGGGGTCAGCAGCTTCACCCTCCAGTCCACCCAACTCCTGTAACCCTTGCAGCTGATGGCAAGGCCCTCCAGTTTCCCACTGGCTCCTGCAACCTGAACAGAGCAGTACCCCAGACCTGTGGCACCACCCCAGACAATGACAGCACCATCCCTTACAGTGGGGGCAGCTGTACAGTCCCTGCCACTAGGGTCAAATTGAGCTGCCAGTAGACCTCCGCTGCCTAGATGCTGAAGACCTTTTAAACTCTCCCACCTGATTGGCATTTGTGTCGACCAGAACAATTGGTTTGGAACTCTTGGCCACCTGGGCTGATAACCCAGCGATCCACCAAAGTTATACTCTGGTTGTGTTGTTGTGGGACTGCGGGATTCTCCCCTTTCAGTTGTTGCCTGTGGGAGGGGTGGGGGTCTTAGTTGCATATATATATCCACAGCTGAGATTTCAGCCCAAAGCCACTGATTCACTAGGATTGGACAGAGACTAGCTGAATACCGGTCAGGGCCATCTAGCCCCACCACACCAAGCAGGTCCCCAGAGTTTCAGGCTATAGTTCTGAATAGGAACTTTGTAAAGCTCTAAGGGAAAAGCCACAATCACCAGTCCCAGTTCTTTGGTAAAGGGCTGGTTAATTACAACTCCAGGACCCCTCAATTCAGTTTCACCTTACCATCTTCTCTAGCCAAACAGTGAAAAATAATCATGAAGCGGAATCAGTGGAAAAACTCTGGCAACATGAATAATCAGAGTATATCAACTCCCCCAAGGAATGACAAAGGAGGCACAACAGAAGATCTCATTCATAAAGAAATGGCTGAGATGTCAGAAATCAAATTCAGAATTTGGATTGCAAATAAGATTAACAGAATAGAGGTAAAGATGGAATTAGAAATTTAAGGAGCAATTCAAAAGTTCTCTCAATTCAAAGACAAAATCACCAAAGATTTTGACATACTGAGGCAAGCCCTCAAATATCTGAGAAATACAGTAGCATCCCTCAGCAACAGAATGGAGCAGGCAGAATAAAAGATCTCTGACATTAAAGACAAAGCTTCTGAATGCTCTCAAATGCTCAGAGGAAGAGAAGTGGAGAGCAAAAGTGGATCCTTCCCTGAGAGACTTGTGGGATCACTCCAAAAGAGCAAACATTCACCTCATAGAAATCCCTGAAGGAGAAGAGGATGGTCCGAAAGGCATAGATACTCTACTCCAAGAGATAACTGAGGAGAACTTCCCAAGCATGGCAAGAGATACTGAAATTCAGATAGCAGACAGTTTCAGAACCCTAGCATGATTCAATCCAAATAAAGCATCTTCTAGACACACTGTAATTAACTTTACCAAAGTTAATATGAAGGAGAAAATCCTACAAGCAGCCAGACATAAGGAAATCATAACCTACAAAGGGAAGAATATTAGATTGACTGCAGATCTTTCTGCTGAAATTTTTCAAGCCAGAAGAGGATAGTCATGGACCTTCAATCTCCTAAAACAAAACAACTTTCAGCCCAAGATCCTGTAACCAGCTAAACGGAGCTTCATTTGTGACAGAGAAGTTAAATACTTTAATGACATAAACACATTGAAGAAATTTGCCATAACCAAACCAGCTCTTCAGGATATCCTCAGACCCATCCTCCATAACGACTAGCACAATGCTCTACCACCAAAGTAAACTCACTCTTAAATTCTTGACCAAAACCTAGTTTCCACAGTGGTAAAAATATTCAAATGTCCACTGGACTTTCAAAAAACTGAACACCCAAATACTATCAGGCTTCTCAATACTCTGAATTAATGTGAACGGCTTAAACTGTCCTCTTAAGAGGCACAGGTTGGCTGACTGGATACAAAAACTCAGGTCAGATATCTGCTGCATACAAGAATCTCATCTTACCTTAAAGGATAAATATAGACTCAAGGTGAAGGGCTGGGCATCTGTAAGCCAGGCAAATAGAAATCAGAATAAAGCAGAGGTGCCAATTTTACTTGCAGATACACTAGGCTTTAAATCAACAAAAGTAAGGAAAGACAAACATGGTCACTTCATATTTTTTAAGGGAAAACACTCAACATGATGAGATGTCAATTATTAACATTTATGTGCCTAATCAGAATGCTCCTCAATTTATAAGGGAGACCCTAACAGACATGAGCAATTTAATATCTTCCAGCACCATAACAGTTAGAGATTTTAACAACCCTGTGGCAGTGTTGGATAGAACCTCCAATAACAAACTAAGCAAAGAAATTTTGGGTTTAAACTTCACCATACAAGAATTGAATTTAACAGACATCTACAGAACATTTCATCCTAACAAAACTGAATACACATTCTTCTCATCAGCCCATGGAAGATCCTCCAAAATTGACCACATCTTAGGTCACAAGTCTAACCTCAGCAAATTTAAAAGTATAGAAATTATTCCTTATATTTTCTTGGATGATCATGCAATAAAAGTTGAACTCACCAATAACAGGTATCTGCATACTCATACAAAGACATGGAAACTAAATAACCTCATGCTGAATGATAGTTGGGTCATAGATGAGATTAAGAAGGAAATTGCCAAATTTTTGGAACAAAACAATAATAAAAACACAAATTATCAGAACCTGTGGGATACTGCAAAGGCAGTCCTGAGAGGAAATTCATAGTGTTGCAAGCTTTCCTCAAGAGAATGGAAAAAGGGGAAGTCAATAACATAATGGGACATCTTAAGCAACTGGAAAAGGAAGAACATTCCAACCCCAAACCCAGCAGAAGAAAAGAAATAACTAAAATTAGAGCAGAATTAAATGAAATTGAAAACAAAAGAATTATTCAAAACATCAATGAATCAAAAAGTTGGTTTTTTGAAAAATTCAACAGAATTGATGAACCTTTGGCCAACCTAACCAAAAATAGAAAATTAAAGTCCGAAATATCACCAATCAGAAATGACAAAGGTGAAGTAACAACAGACACCTAAAAAATTCAAAAAATCCTTAATGAATGCTACAAAAAACTTTATTCTCAGAAATATGAAAATCTGAAAGAAATTGACCAATCCTTGGAAGCACACCAACTTCCTAGAATGAAACTGACCAATCAGAAAGAATTGACTTAATCAGAAAGAATTAGAAATGCTGCACAGACCTATATTAAGTACTGAAATAGAATCAACTATACAAAATCTCCCAAAAAAGAAGAGTCCAGGACCAGATGGCTTCATATCAGAATTCTACCAAACCTTTAAAGAGGAACTAGTACCCATATTACTTAACCTTTTCTAAAACATCGAAAAAGAAGGAATACTTCCCAACACATTCTATGAAGCAAATATCACCCTGATCCCTAAA